CCCACCCCCGGTTTTTGATCCCATTCCCCACTCCACCCCCACAAAATGTCTCTGGTATATGGTTGTTCATTATTCTTGTTATTTTCTCGCCTGGTCCATTATACTCCTGCTATGTATCTCCCTGCTCTTTTAAGGGAAACCGGGAACCAGCTGTGGTGGAGAGTAAGGCCAGATGTGCAGCGAGAGCCCCACAGTAAACAAACTCCCATAGACCGAGTACAGCAATAGCAGCTGCTTCAGTTCTGGAGTTCTGGCCTGCGAGGTTGCATCTCTGAGGCTTTGGGAAGAGAAAGGCTGAGTGAGCAGAGCTTCTTCCCAGCCTGGAAAAGTGCTCATGGAGTATGTCCACTGAGCAGATTTGGGGTGATGGGGCTGTTCGGTCCCTTCTGCCAAGCCCACTGAGAGTCAGGGATTAGATGAGGGTTTGAATCAGGGCCCAGCCCTCAACCCAAGCTGGAAAGTGGTACAACAATCATTGTGCTAGTCCCTCATTTTACAATGGGGACCCTTGGGCCTTCAGCAGCCTTTAGGCCCTCAGGCCTGAGATTGCAGTGTTATAAAGAGAACAGATTGAGATTGGGGTTCAAAGTCAGATGACAGTCAAAGTTCAGGGACTAGGTCACTATGGTCAGCGTGTGGTGAACATGTGGCTGGTCATTTCATTGTCCTGCTCCTCCCTCTCCCCTCCATCACAACCACAGTCATGCCGTGTCCCTCTGGCCCTGTTCCCAGCTGACCCCTGCAACTCTCGGTTGGATATCAGCCCTTGGTTGCTCTCGAGGGTCCTATTTGTGACTGTGATTGATCTTTTTCTGTGTGACACAAACCCTAAGCAACCCATGGTCATGTGACCTGGGACCCAGCTCGGACAGAGCAGAGTCAAGATGATGTCTGTTTGCCCATTTATATGTGTGGCCTCCTGGCTGTGGAAGGGTTGGCTGGAAAGAATCTCATCAATGGGGTGGTGGGCAGGGGTGAAGGTGGGGGGGAGAGGAATCCCCTGCGCAGGTTATGGTGATGAGCTTGGCCCTTCTATTACCTACCTAGGCGAGGGGGGTGCTAACTATGCCCAGAGCAAGAGTGGCCCTCAGCTGGTGGTGGGGCTTATTGAGAAACAAGAGGACTGGGTAGGTGACAGTGAAGAAGTAGCCTTCCCCTGCCACAAAAGGGTCTCACTTCTGTTGTCAGTAACAGGAGTCAGCCTGGTAGCCTTTCTGCCCACCTAGCCCCCACTGGGCCTGGAGGGTTCAGACATCAGTCTTCTGACAGCTCATGGTAAGAACCTTCCTCATGTAGCATAGCTACCTCCAGAGGTAGCTATCTGGGAGAGTTCAAGCAGAGGCGTGAAGATTCTTGGGTGGGTTTCATCCTTTCACCCATTGAATCCCATCCAACAATTTTTTTTTATTTTACAAAAGTTTATTTTTACATCATTTTGTACATTTCCCCCCCCCCCCATCTCAATTGTAATCCCCACGGGTTTCCCATCACCAAGTCACCCGTGTGCCATCACCATAATCCTGTGCATTTCCCTCCCCCTCTCCCCTGTTTTTGATCCAACACATTTTTTTTTTTAAAGATTTGATTCACCAGGGACAGGTGGGGAGTAGAACAGGCAGATTGACAAAGTACACTTGCTGAGGGGGGCAGTGGGCTGGACAGGAGAGGTCTGCTGCGCCATGTGGGTCACCCCCTGGCCAGGGATCAAACTCGTGATGCAGTGGCTGTGATAGCTTCATAGTGCTGCACTTAAACACGTCGTGCTCCAAGGGAGGGCCCCCAACACATTTTTTTTTAAAAGATTATTTATACATACAGAACTGGGGTACAGGCCAGAGGTGCAGGGTTGTGAGAGGATTCACTAGAGACAGATGGGGAGCAGAACAGGCAGACCGATGAAGTGCACTGCTGAGGGGAGCAGCAGGTGGGTCAGGAGAGGTCTGCCTCGCCATGTGGATCTCCCCTCGGGCAGGCGGAAATCGAACTCATGCTGAAGTGGCTTAAGCTTCTTAGTGCAGTGCTTTAACCCGCTGCGCCACCAGGGAGGGCCCAGCCCCAACACATTTGTAAGCACTAACTTTATGTCAGGTGCTGGACTGGATGATTGAATTATGAATAAGATGGGAATGGCCCTGGTCTCACAGTGCTACAATGAAGAATATGGTTGCTGTGTACTAGGGCCCATAATTTAGACTTGGAAATCACCTTTGAGGAAAGGAAGCAGCATGGGTGAAGGTCTCGGGAGGCGTGGCCAGTAGAGGAGCCAGTCAAGTCAGTGAGCCAAAGCTTAGTGAAGGTATAAAAAGGAGCAAAGTGAGCTCGCTAGGGCTGTGGGTCATTTTAGGGGATATGCTTTCTTCTAGGAGCCACAAGGAGCCAATGAAATCTTTAAGCAAGGCAATGATGTGATGATCGGACGTGTGTCTTCGCTGATTTCTGAGGCTGACTTAGAGCTTGAGATTCACAGTTAAGTTGTTTATATGGGAGGTGATTCCAGAAAATACCAGTACAGTGGGAATTTGAGACAGGAGGGAAACAGCAAATAATGTTAAGTCAAGCAAGTTACCACCGTGGTAACTTGACCTGCTGGGCATCTCTGGGAGCCAGTGTGGACCGTGTCCCTCAACATTGTTCCCCCTGAGAGGAGAGAGCTGGGTGTTCGTACACCACCTCCCACCGACGCTGACCGAAGGCTGTGCTGTGCAGGACGTGCTGCTTGCCAAAGTGCTTGCCTGGCACTTTGACCTTCCACTGGGGCAGGCAGATGAATTGTAGGGGGTCCTTGGGCAGAGTTGCAGGGGTCACCTTAGAGTGGGGCCTGAGGGGCCATGAATTAGATGGAGTGATGGGCAGGGAGGGGCAGCTGGGAGTCTAGAGATCAGTGAGGGATGGGACTGGGCAGAGATTATTTTTTAAAGATTTATTTATTTATGTATACAAGAACTGGGGTAAGACGAGGGGTTTTGGGGGTGGGGGTGTGAGAGGATTCACCAGAGACAGAGTGGGGAGCAGAATAGGTGGGTTGACTGAAATACACTGCTGGGGGAAGCAGTGGTTGGGTCAGGAGAGGTCCGCTGCATCATGGGGTCACCTCCCTGGCGGGGATCAACCGTGCTGCAGTGGCTGCGGAGGGCTCCATAGTGCTGAGCTTTAGCCTGTTGTGCGCCGGGGGAGGGGGGCACCGGTGGGAGACTTTTCCAGGCAAGAGGTATTGATGGCCTTAGGTATCAGAGGGGACGATATAGAGGGCAGAAATGTGACAGATAACACGTGTGGTGGAATGAAGAACACCAGAGAGTGTCCACAGCTTCCCAGAGCAGCAACCCTCACTGAGGGACACCGAGAGGGGTAGATGCAGAGCTCGGTTAGACCCCGTCTCCTGCTACTGACCAGCTCAGTCAGCTCAGCCTCCTGGGCTCCCTGGGGCCAGCAAATGGAAGAGAGCTGGCACAGCGGAGGTTCCCCAAGGAGCCTCAGGCAGGGAGGAAAAAAATGTCATATGTAGCCTTGAGTTAGGGGTGAGGGCACCATTGCTGCCTCTGCTCAACAGGGGCCATTCCTTCTCCTTGGTCCTGTTGCCCTCAAGTTTTGCTCAGACCTGTAGTACCCAGTTCTCAAGACCTGGCCCTGCCACGAACTTCATGGCCGCAGTTAAATCCCTTTTTCTGAGTCGCGCTTTCCCTACATGTAAAACCAGCAGGGACCCCTTCTGTAGAACTCACCTTCTAGAAAGGCTCATGGCCTTCCCCCTCCAAATAGTCTCGAGAAGGGAGCAGAAAAGGAGTGTCCTTGGGGGGCATCCCAGCACAGAGAGACTTGCCCTGTCATGACTATGACCATGAAGGCACGGGAATTACTCCCATCCTGGACAGAGCTGTCCCGGAGCCAGACCCGCCCTGCCCCTGGTCCCTAACCCCAAAGAGGCAGCCCACACCCATGTTTATTTTCTTTTTCTTTTTTTGTATTACAAAAGTTTATTTTTACATCATTTTGTACATTTTTTTTCCATCTCAATTGTAATCCCCGCGGGTTTCCCATCACCAAGTCACCCATGTGCCATCACCATAATCCCGTGCAT